TTTTTATATTTAAAATGAGATGTTTATCTTGTATTTGATTGTGTTTATTTGCAGTTAGTTACACGAATTCAGATATGGGATGAAATCGGATAGGAATGAACGGGTTTAAGAGTTTTTAAGAGTTTAAGAGTTTTTAAGAGTTTAAGAGTTTTTAAGAGTTTTAGTCAAATGTTTTATAATATAATATAGATATAGATATATGGGAAAAGTTCAGAAAAATCCAACTTGAAAGCGGGTAACAATGACGAGATTTTATTTTATATTTATTTTTTTATCTCCTTGGCTTTATACAACAATTGTACAAAATACATTGAAGCATGTACAATAAAAATTTCATTAAGAACTAGATGTAAAAAGACCAAATAACCCCTCACTTGAGGGGCTCATAACTGACCTAACGGAGTTACTTCTACGGAGTTAGGGAGAGAGATTAATTTGAGCTTCGAAAAACAAAAAGTGGACCAAAAATATACTTTACGAATTATAGGGATAAAAACTAAAAAACAAAAATATAATCCATTCTTTAAATAAATAAGTGACATCTTCAATTGTGTTTTTTTTAAGTATATAATATTTATATACGGTAAAAGCAACAAATAAATTCACACATTTTCCTCATTGTTGGTGAGGTTTGAACCCTTGACCTTCTAAGAGGCCAAAAACCACGATACCGCTAGGCCGAAGGCCCTTTGATATCTTCAATTGTGTTTGTGGGGACCGTGGATCAATTTTGATAAATTCTATTAGATTTTACTTTTTCTCGTATGATCCAATCCCAAGCTTTCTAATCACTTTTAATTTCATGTCTATTTATAAATTACTAGAAGGGTACTCGCGTAATGTAGTAAGATATATCTCGATTTTAATGTTTCGTTTTATTTCGTCTCTGTAGATGTTTTAATATGGTTTTTATATAGTTTTGAGAAATGAATAATGATTTTATTTTTGAATAAAATATAAATTTGAAGATATAATAAAATTTCGAAAATAAATATATCAATATTAGTATCAAATTAAATATTTAAAAGTTAATTTTTTTTGTATAATTTCTTTATTCAGTCTTTTTATTATAATTTAATTTAGATTTAATAACGAATTAATTTATTTTTGATTTAATAATTTTTTTATAAGGATAATATTAAGTAATCTGTTAGAACTCAATATTTATTCTAATTATATTTTAGTTTTTTTATATTTAAAATGAAATGTTTATCTTGTATTTGACGATTTTTATCAGCAGTTAGTTACACGAATTCAAACATGATGCTTTAATAAGTTGTACTTATGCATTGTAATCTTGAATTTTAAGTAATATGCATTAATAAACAGTACTTCATGCATAAAAAAAGGTTTTTAATAGTTTTTGTCAAATGCTTTTAGTATAGTATAGATATTTTAGAAAGAAATTGATCTGATGTAAATCGATGTATCTCATTAGCATTGATATTCAATTTGGATTAATCCAAGGTTGAAGATCTCTTCTTACACTTCTCATTATAATTTCTCTTCTCACTGGAACCCAGTCATATATATATATATATATATATGTATATATATATATGTGTGTGTGTGTGTGTGTGTGGAGATTCAAACGAGAACACTTCTATTTTATGAAAACGTGAAAATATTCTTATCACATGTGATAATACATGTGAAGGCATTTGGTGTGGGCGGATAACTTGGCCCATGTAACACCCCAAACCACACATTGCATGTAACACATATTTCATACAAAAGAAGTACATTATATTATCCCATTCAAGTCCTTTAGTACAAAAATCTATTATAACCAAATACAAGGTCCAAAAATTCAAATACATTTTTTGTACTAATCAATCAAAACTGTACATCAAGACATATCTTCATGTAGAAATGCATATAGAAAAATATCAAATTTTCCATTTTCCTTTACAGTCCGAACCTCCTGTAATACATAGTTAAAATCACAAAACGAAGGTTAGACCGAATGGTCTAGTGAGATACTCTATTATGATATTGCAGGGTGAAAATCACCAAAACCTTTATGAAAAACAACTTATTCATATATATAACAAATATATGAACGAATTGGAACAAAATACCAAATCCTTTCCACTTTTCAAGCTAAGCATTTAGCTATTCAAATATCATACATTTGAAC